TGCTGTGGGTGTGGAACCTGTGCTCTGGATCTGTGCTTTTCCCATAGTGCTCTTTGTCTGTCCACTGCTGGGGATACTGCCCTACCATCTGGACGTATGTCACCCCATCCCAGTGCAGTTCCCCTGAGTCACCTCCTATCTCCCCAGCCCTGCTGTGCTCAGCTGCTGGCCCAGCCCAGATAAACTTCTTTCGGCAGGAACCCTTCCAGGAGCCTGCCAGGCCTGTGGGGAGCGTGAAAGGCAGGTGACGATGACCTGGGAGAAGGTTCAGAGCCATCACAGCTTCTGCCAGCTGGGGCTCACAACTTGCTCGACACCACAAGAGCCGCCTCACCTCGGATGCCTCACTGCGAGCACTAATAGCACATTTGGAAAAAAAAAATAAAACAAATTATTTATTATTACTGTGTGCTCAGCATCCAGCTTGAGGATCCAACTCAGGCGGTGGGCTTGTGAGATAAATTACTTGCCTGCTGCTGGACCTTCTTGCCGGCCCCAGTGGACCATCTTCCATAAGGGAGATGAGTTCATGACAGAGTCCACAACAGGAGAGCAGGGAATCTGCAGAGATGCTGTCCCTGTCCTCTGGCGACTCTGGCCTGTAAATGCCAGATGAGTTTCTCATCAGAGAGCTTACGTGACACACAGCAGACAGGAGTATCCATTTTGTCCCGGATTCTAAACTGCCAGTCATTAAAAGGCCTCTCTAAAGTTCCCACTCATGGTGGCTCACAACCACCCATTACTCCAGTTCCAGGGGTTCTGACACCCTCTTCTGACCTCCCGGGCACCAGACACACATGTGATGCAATAGATATGCATTCAGGTACAACATTTAATACACACACACACAAATACACAGATCTAAAAAAATATTTAAAAGCTCATGCTAGCTGAGGGATGGGGGATGATGGGTAATGAATACTTTTAATCACAGCAGGTGGATCTCTGAGTTCCAGGCCAGTCTGATCTACAGAGTGAGTTTCTCCAGGGACTGGCTGAGTCAAGGGCATCCAGTGAGTGGGTAACAGGACATTCCAGCCCATTAGGAGAGGCTGACCGCTCTTGCAGCAACACTTCTGGGAAGTTCATCATTGCAAGGCTGGTTTTCCTGGCTTTTGTCTCCTACTCCCCATTTAGCTAGGAGTGGGTAGTTAGAGCGGCCATAAGAGGCTTGGCCACCCTCCCTACCTCGGCCCTCTCTGCCTCCTTTCTAGTGGTGGGATTTCTATCCTACTTTGCAAGTCTTGTGTAGGCTGCTGCTGGTCTTTTAGTTCAGAATAACTTTGAAGTTTGCTTCCTTCTTCCCCAACGAGGTAAGCACGCACCTTGCATTAGAAAGAAGTTACCGGTGGAGGGAGACTCAGTGGAGTGCTAGCCCCCAGCGCTGTAGAAACCGGGTAGGATGTAATCCAGGCACAGTGGCACCTACCTGTGATTTGGACACCTCGGTGGCGAAGACAGGAAGAGCAGAAGTCAGAAGTTCGAGGTCATCCTCAGCTACATGCTGAGCTGAAGGCAAGTCTGAGACACACAAGCTCCTGACTTAAATAAATAAGGCTGTTTTTTTTTCTTTTTTCTTTTTTTTAAAGATTTAAGTGGGGGGCTGGAGAGATGGCTCAGTGGTTAAGAGCACTGGCTGCTCTTCCAGAGGACGAGGGTTCAATTCCAGGGACCCACATGACAGCTCACAACTGTCTGTAACTACAGTCCCAGAGGATCTGACACCTTCACACCAGTGTACATACAATAAAGTTAAATAAGTCATTTTTTAAAAATTGAAGTGTTGGGGCTAGAGAGGTGACTCAGTGATTGAGAGCACTTGATGCTCCTGCAGAGAACTGGGTTCATTTCCCAACACCAACATGGTGGGTCACGGTAGCTATTAACTCCAGTTCCAGGGGATTCAGTACCTTCTTCTGGTCTCAGGCGTACTTACATGTAGGCAAAACACTCACACACATAAAAGAAATAAATAAAAAGAAAATAAGTAATAAAATAAAAAGAAAGTAAGTTATCCGGAAGCTGGGTATAGTGATGCACACCTAAAAGGCAGATGCAGTCAGATCTCTGTGAGCTCAAGACAAGCCTGGTTTACAGAGTGAGTTCCAGGACAGCCAGGGCTACATGGAAAAACCCTGTCTTGGAAAAACAAAACCAACCAACTAACCAACCAACCAACCAACCAACCAACAACAACAACAAAAAAAAAAACAAAAAAAAACCAAAACCAGTAATGAATTGATTTTACCCTCTTACTAATTAGCACTTCAACAGGCTGATACTAAAGCTATTCTCTTCATATCACAATGCTATAGTTATACCCAAGAAAATAACAATTTGCAGTATGATCTAGTATTCAGTTGTGAAAGAAATGTAAGGTGCCCGGATCAAACTGGAGTTGCCTGTATGAGCCCTAACCGGTACATAAAGGCTATGGAGGAAGGGCTCACACTGTCGTGGTGTGTGCTGCCAGAACCACAGATGTGCAGAGGACACAAGAACTCCTGCCAGCACATCTGAGTGCTCAGCCTTGGACTGAAGCCACTCTGTTAGTCCCTTTGGTGTCCTAGGAGTTTAGAAAAGAATGTTGGGTCCCCTGGAGCTAGAGTTTCGGTTGGTTGTGAGCCACCATGTAGGTGACAGGAACCAAACCCATGTCCTTTGAGAGAACCTTTGAGAATGGTTAAGTACTCTTAACCACTGAGCCAACTCTCTGACTCCCTAAATTCTTTCTTATTTATTGATTTATTAGAGATCGGGTCTCACTATGTAGCCTAAGCTGGCTTGAAACTCCCTCTGTAGACTAGGCTGGCCTCTAAATGACCTCCAAGGGCTAGGATTAAACACTTTTTCTGTATGTTGGAAACATTCCTAATAAAAAGGTGTGTGCGTGTGTCTGGCAAGATGGCTCAGCGGCCAAGACCACCTTCATGAGATCCATCCCTAGGACCCAGCAGAATAGGAGAGCTCCAATTTCCACAGGTTGACCTCTGACCTTCACACTAGCGGGTTCCACCATGTCACCCCAAATAAATTTCCAAACAAGAACAAAGAGAGTCAGAGAGGGTCTAGAGGTGCGACCCAAGGTGCCATGGGACGTTTCCAGGTCTGTCTGGCCTTTATTTCCTTACCTATAATAGACCTGAAATTACCTATTTTCCCTTTTCATATTGAAAATACCCGTGACCTGATCCGGATGTACAGGGGTAGTGGGTGCTGGGCCTATATTCATGTCACTCTGATGCAGACTGCTGAGTGGATTTGCAGGAAGTACTCGATCTCCCTGGGGACTCAGTTTCCCCACCTCTGGTCGCCGGAACGCTGACGTGCCCCAGCTCCTGGGAGTGACTGCCGAGCGCGGGCTGAGGGGTGGGCGGGGCTTGAGACCGATTGAAGCGAAGTCGACCAGTCACAGAGCAGAGATCAAAACTGGCGCCAAATGCAAAAGCGCGCAACTCCTGACAGGTCGGGGCGCCGGGGGCGGAGGCGGCGCGGCCCCCTTAGCTTTGCCCGCTTGGCGGGAGGAAGAGGCGCTTTGAGGTGGCGGGAGGAGAGAATGGCGCCGACCTTCCCCCTCCCTCTTCCCCTCAATGTTATTTTATTAGTCAGGACCTCATTTGTATTGAGAACACCAGGAGTTAGAGCAACCAAAGGCGGCTCTCGGATACTGATTACTGAAAAGTAAAAGGTGAATTTGGCAATATCTATATTCTAATAATTTTCCTAGAGGTGATAATGGCACCAAATCATTAACAAAAAATCTTTATCGATATGGCCCAGTTGGCTTAGCAGGGAAGGAGGCCTGGGTTTTGTGCCCAGCGCCACGGAAACTGCCCGGTGGTGGACACCTGCCTGTAATTCCCCCTCGGGAGCTGGAGGGAGTCAGGAAGATCGGGTCAAGGTCATCCTCAACTACGCGTGGAGTTTGAGGCCAGTCTAGGATACTAAGATGGCTTTATTTAAAGGGTTGGGGGAGACCAGTTGTTTTGGGGATGGATACTGGCGTGTGTACTAGTGAAGCCTACAATTCAGTTTATTTATGTCTACAAAGAGCAGCTGGGTGAGGCAGTACCAGGGCTGCCGGCCTGAAGTTAGAGTTGCCACTTTGCGTTCAGTGATTTTTTTTCCTTCTCTACACTGAGAGAACTCAGGGCACTCTAGTAACGCGAGCAGAGGGGAGCATTCCTAGGTTCCACGTTTCTTCCCCGGGATCGATCTCAGCGTTCCTTTCGGGCACTTATCTCTGGCATCTCGGTGCCCCTCCCCAGGGCGAAGCAGTTAAGCCACCTACAAAGCCAGACGAAAGCGGGAGTTCCCGCCTCCACCCTCACCGCAGGAATTTTCAAATTCGTCTTCCGACTACTGGACGGCCAGGGAGTCGTAAAACCAGTGTGGCGCGTAATCATCCTCTGAACTTCCTGGGGAAAAAAAAGCGACTTTTAAAACAAGCGGGAAACGGGGGACAAGGGGCTGACACTATATCCAAGGCCGTCTCCGTACCCCTTTAGTGAGCCTGAAGGCTTACAACAGATCGCCTCTACGCGAACCCTCGTTTAAAGACCTCCCCTCTGCTAATCCCGCGGGGTGGGTGCGGTTACCAGTCTCCTGACTGGGGACCCCGAAAGTTGCGGGGCTCGGCAGTCCCCCCTCCCCAGGCTACTCGGTCCTAGCTGGATTCCCCGCACCCCTATGGGCGCAAAGACAGTGCAGGCGACGCAGCCCAGAGGCCGGCAGCGTCTCGCCAAGCGGTGGCACCAACCTCGGCGACAACTCCCCGCGCCCCCCCAATCCGGGTGCTCGCCCAGAGCCGAGCCTCCCGCCACCCCAAACGGTTCCGGGCCCCCGAGCGCCCGCGCGCCCCCGGTGTCGGCGCAGACTCCGTGGAAGAGGTCTTTGTGCGGAAGAGCGGACGGCGCAACTCCCGCGCCCGATGCACGCTCCAGCCAATGAGCCAATGGGAAGCGCGGGCCCGCCCCCTCCGCGGGCCTTTTAAAAGGTACTGAGGCTGGCGGGCGCCTGTGCTCCGGGTTCTAGCCACTCCGCCACCTTCTCCGTCGCCTCGACCGCTGCCCTCGCTCGCCATGCTCTCCGCCCGCATCCCGCTCGCCACCATCACCGACCAGCAGCAGCTGAAGGTGTCGCCGCTGAAGCGACTCCACCTGTCCGAGAAGGAGAACACGGTGAGCGCGGCGTACTGAGGGGGACGCAGCTGGCAGGGAGGGTGTGGGTTCCCGGACCCGGGAGGGTGGAGGGCTCCCACCGTCGCTCACGCACGCCTGTGTCCCTGCAGCCCCCGAGTCTCAGCGGGACCCGCATCCTGGCGAGCAAGGCTGCAAGGAGAATCTTGCTGGACCCGGCCGAACCGGTGAGTGACCCGAGGGAGGCTCAGGTAGGTGGGTGGTCCACGGAGCTGCCGGCAGGGGGCGGGACGTCCGCCGCCGTTGGCGCCAAAGTTGCATTGTCCCAGCTGTCTGCCTCAGCCTCTCCACGTTCCCGCCAAAATGTCTCCTTAGGATGCCCTCCTTGGGTCTCCTCGTTAGGAGAGTCACCATAGCATGCAATGTGACAGCGAGCCACACGGAACTCCCAGCCAGTGAAAGTACCTGATCTGATGAGAGATACTAGAACGTTCGTCTGGTTCGATTAACATTTTTGGGGTGGTTGTTTCTCTCACCCAACAGGAAAGTAAAGAATCTACTAAGCCCAGCGTTGAGGATGAGCCCTTACTGAGAGAAAATCCCCGCCGCTTCGTGGTCTTTCCCATCGAATACCATGATATCTGGCAGATGTACAAGAAAGCTGAGGCCTCCTTCTGGACGGCTGAGGAGGTCGACCTCTCCAAGGATATTCAACACTGGGAAGCGCTGAAACCCGACGAGAGACATTTTATATCTCACATCCTGGCTTTCTTTGCGGCGAGTGATGGCATAGTCAATGAAAACCTGGTGAGTCTGCATGACGTAGCTGTAATTCGCTTAGAGACAGAGGACTGGTGTGTGACTTTTTCTCCTGTGAATGGGGGCTGGAGAGATGGCTCCACTCGGTGGTTAACACACTTCCTGCCTGTGCAGAAGACGCAAGTTGTGTTCTGAGCACCCATACTGGGTGGCTTCACATCTAGTGATTCCAGCTCCAGGGCATCTGACGACTCACACTGGCGTCCTTGGGACTTGCCTGTACTTATCCGTGAAAAAAACAGTTTTAGCTGGGCAGTGCTGGCTCACGCCCAGAAACAGGCAGATTTCTGTGAGTTCAAGGCCACACAGGTCTACAAAGTGAGTGAGTTCCGGGACAGCCAGGACTGTTACACAGAGAAACCCTGTCTCAAAAAAACAAAATTAACAGTTTTGTTAGGCCAGCAAAATAAGAGTTCTTTATTTCCTGGTGGTAAATTGAGCATGTGACATAAAATAATATGCTTTATTGCAGCATTGTGAAGATCTGTACTACAATATATAGGAGCAAATTTGTTTCTAGTTTTTGTTTTACTTATATTTTTGAAACAAATTCTCACTGTAATCCTGGCTGGCCTAGAACTCAGTAAGCAGACCAAGATGGCCTCAAAGATTCCTGCTTGAGGAGTGTGCCTCAGGGCTGGGATTAATCCTGGTATGCTCAAAGGTGAGCAGGTGATGCAACCAGTAGTTTTTCAGGTTTAACTCTGGTTTATTTCATTACCACTAGGTGGAGCGCTTTAGCCAAGAAGTTCAGGTTACAGAGGCCCGCTGTTTCTATGGCTTCCAAATTGCCATGGAAAACATACATTCTGAAATGTACAGTCTCCTCATCGACACTTACATTAAAGATTCCAAAGAGAGGTGAGTATCCACATGGTGTGTATGCTCAGATACCCAGGACTCACGAACTTACTATTGTATTTCAAGTATTTTTGTTCACAAGGCGAACAGGCAGACTGACTAAGACTGTAGATACTTCTAGGGCCCTTAGTCCTGACTGCTTTGAGCAAAGGACCCAAATTCACTTTATTGCTCGCTGAATGAAAAATCAAATGTGTTGTAGCTCATGTCTATAATCCCAGCACCCCAGAGACCAGAAGCAGCATTGCCATTGTTCCAGGTCTGGCCAGATGAGATACTGTGTCTAAAACCAAACAACAAACCAAGGCCTGGAGAGATGACTCAGTGGTTAAGCTCTTTCAAAGGACCTAGTTTGGGTTCCCAACCCCTACACAGCAGTTTGGGTCAGCTCATAACCCATTTAACTCCAGTTACATCATATGTCCCCTACTGGCCTCCACAGGTACTCCACACGTGGCGCAAAGAAACATTCAGGCAAAACACTCATACATAAAAAAAAAATGAAAAATGTGGCTACTGGGCTGGAGATGGCTCAGCAGCTAAGAGTGCTGGCTTCTCTTCCAGAGGACCCAAGCAACCAAATGTGGCTCACAGCTGTCTATAGTGGGATCTTAAATGCCCTCTTTGAGTATGCAGGCTTACATGGAGATAGAACACTCACATACATTAAGTAAATAAATATAAAAATGTGGGTACAAATGATTATAAAGAATGAAGTGGAAGTGAGGGGAATTACATACTCTTTTTTTTTTAAATATTTATTTATTATGTATACAACATTCTATCTGTGTGTGTGTCTGCAGACCAGAAGAGGGCACCAGACCTCATTACAGATAGTTGTGAGCCACCATGTGGTTGCCGGAAATTGAACTCAGGACCTTTGGAAGAGCAGGCAATGCTCTTAACCACTGAGCCATCTCTCCAGCCCGGAATTACATACTCTTGACAATACTGAGTTAAAAAATTAACTTTAGACCAGTTTGGTAAAATGTTACTCTACATTAGGGGGCTATAGAAAATTAATGGTGGCACAGCTGAGTTTGAAGCCAGGCTGGTCTACAGGAGCTAGTTCCAGGACAGACTAAAACTACAGCCAAACCCTGTCTCGAAAAAACAAAAAAACAAAGAAAGAAAAAGAGGCTTTTATATTATGGAGGTAGAGGGTGGAAAGTCAGGGTTAGGGTGATCAGTTGACATCAGGATGGAAAGCTGGTGTGGAACAACTAATCGGGCCTTGCACTGTCTGTGGTATCGTGGTTCATGGTATACTTCTGTCGACAGGGAATATCTCTTCAATGCTATTGAGACAATGCCTTGTGTGAAAAAGAAGGCCGACTGGGCCCTGCGTTGGATTGGGGACAAAGAAGCTACCTATGGTAAGGACTTTTCTTTCCTCCTTAAGCCTGTATGTGATTCGATTGTCTAAGTGATGTCACTGGATTGTCGGCCCATGCTGAGAGTACCAAGCCCTCACCAGGAACATTTCGGTATTGACTCTTGCTAGGAGAACGAGTTGTGGCCTTTGCTGCTGTGGAAGGGATCTTCTTCTCTGGCTCTTTTGCGTCAATATTCTGGCTCAAGAAACGGGGACTGATGCCTGGCCTTACGTTTTCCAACGAGCTTATTAGCAGAGATGAGGTGAGTCTGGAATACCCGCCTGATCTGTGGGATGCCCCCCTGGAGTTACAGGTGGTTGTGAACCACCGTGTAAGTGCTGGGAACTGAACCAGGCTCCTTGCGACTGCTGAGCCGTCTACTAAGTCTTGGGGATCTAACTCAGGGTCTTAATGCTGGTTAGGCAAGTACTCTGCCACTGAGCCACATTCCTGGCTCCGTATGCACATTAATGGGTGAGTTCAGTCATACATATACCCAGCAAGGAATAGAATACCTCAAGTGATGTGTTGGAACTACTCGTATTCTTAGTACATGTATTCCTATTATCCCATAGGCTTGAGTGCGTAAGTTGAAAGCTCTGAATGGGATTTTTAGGGCGTCATAAGCAAGGCTTTGTGCCTTTGTGCTTCCAAATGAATTGGCAATGAGATCAGAGTTCGCTTGGGCTCCTATAGGTCCTTGGAGTAGACTGAGGAAAGACAGAAGGTGTCTGTACTTAATAGTTTGTCCAATCTGAAATGCAAGGAGCAGAAACCCCACCACTCCCAAAACGCAGTGGGCAGGGCCGGTGATTATCTTCCTGTGTAGGGAGATGAGCCCTGAGACCTACTGGGGTGCCATGTGCTAAGAGTCACTGGTCTACTTCATTTGAAATGGTATCAGTTCCTGAGTATCTGAAAGCTCCTCCTCCTTGTTAAGAACTGGAGCGTGAGGCTGTGGAGATTCTTGAACAAAGATAAGCCTCTTTGGGTATTAGAAGGGTTGAGTTTGAGGGCCTAGAGTTGGGATAACCTATTCCTTGGTATCATAATTGGCAGTTAAACACCTGCTTTCTTTTGGTTTCTGACTTTTAAGACAGGGTTTCTCTATTACAGCCCTGGCTCTCCTAGAACTCTGTATGTCAGGCTGGCCTCAGAACTCACAAGAGATCTGCCTTCCTCTGCCTCCCCTGACTGAGTGTTGGGATTAAAGGCGTGCGCCACCATGCCTAGGCCACCTGTTTTATTTTCCTTGCTTTTTGTTGTATGTTTTCGCAGTCTGTAACCTGGCTGGCCTGGAAAAATGTAGGCCAAACTAGCCTCAAACTCACGGGTGATCATGCATGTGTACTACCATGCCAGGCTAAATACCTTTCTTTGGACAAGCCAAGTGCTCTGGCCAGACAAGTTGCATAAGATCACAAAGATGGATAAAGCATTTTTAATCCACACATGTGAGCAGTTAAGGTTCGGCCTCACAGTAACCTTGAACTTTCCATTCTAGGGTTTACACTGTGACTTTGCCTGCTTGATGTTCAGGCACCTGGTACACAAGCCGTCGGAGCAAAGAGTACAAGAAATCATCATCAACGCAGTGAGGATAGAGCAGGTGGGTGATGTGTGTGGGTTGCTCTTACACTTGCCGAAAGGGCGGGCAGTCTTTGGACTCCAGGGTGCTCAGAAGCTTTGCTTGGCCTCTAGGAGTTTCTCACAGAGGCCCTGCCTGTGAAGCTCATCGGGATGAACTGCGCCCTGATGAAGCAGTACATCGAATTCGTGGCGGACAGGCTTATGCTGGAGCTGGGGTTCAGCAAGGTAAAGTGTTATTTGTGGCCTGCCACACCCCCACCCCCTCTTTTTTTTAAGTTTGTTTTTAACACTTATATCTTGCTGTGACTTTTTTAGATTTTCAAAGTAGAAAATCCGTTTGACTTCATGGAAAATATTTCACTAGAAGGAAAGACAAACTTCTTTGAGAAGCGAGTGGGCGAGTATCAGAGGATGGGGGTGATGTCAAATTCAGCAGAGAATTCTTTCACCTTGGATGCTGACTTCTGAGCAAACTGCCTGCTCTTTGCTGATTATTGTTCTCCCCTTGTCATAAAAAAATCAGCAAAAGCAATCAATTGGCTACACCATGAATTTGTTAACCGGTATCTAAGAACTGGGTAGCTACCTCAGTTGGTCCCTTTTGGCTAGTTGTGTCACTAGAGGAAGGATGTTAAAGGTACTCAGATTCTTAGGGGAGATTCTGCCCTTGGCTTCTGGGAGTAGTGTGTGATAGCCTTTGGCCCCAAGCACCAACAGACCCTCCAGCAAGCAGGATTCAGCATTTGTTGCCATAAGACTGTTTAAAAGATGTGAGCCTCATTCACTGCTTCCCGTGGACTCTAGCGTTTACTTAAGTTTGTAAATAAAACTAGCACTTTGCACACAAACATAGTACTGTCAAGGGGGAAAGCCTGCTTTATTTGGTTTCTACACCAAGCACTAAGTAGTGTTTTGTAAGAAGAGCGTTGCCAAGCTTAATTCTTCAGTGAATTGAGATGCTTCATCATCGTTGACGTCAGTCCTGTGCAATGTAGGCATTAGCCTGCTGGTGCTAATCGTGTACAGGGTGTGTGTGTGAGACCCCATACATCAGAGCATCTCTGCTTCACACAACCTCCAACTTTGAGTCACGAGAGACTTCGGCATGATTTGGAACACTTGTTGGCTGGCCCAGGCCCAGTCGTCATTTTTGTGAAAAGCAGTATTTTTTTTTCCAAGGTATTCTTTGCCCCATTTCTAGTTAGTGCAGAGTCTTGAAAAGGCTTTGTAGATAGGACTTCCAGTGGTAGCCCATGCACCAGTCTTGGTTTTTGTCAGTGGTAAAGCCGGGGCTGAAGTCAGCTTTCCTAAAAGATGCAGATTTTTGAGTGTGTGAACAGGTACTATTGAAATTTGATCCACTTATTAACCCTGACTAGGCCTAGAACTTGCTGTGCAGACTAGGTCAGCCTCTTAAACTTACCTCTGTCTCCCAAACACCGGGATTAGGATTTGTGCCACAATGCCCGGCTTTACCTGGTGAATTCCTACTAAACACCTGAAACCGTACTGTGTGGGCTGTTAATGTGTGTTCAGTTCAGATTGCAGGCTGAAATGCGGACAGTAGATGCGCCTAACAGCCAGTGTGAATTAGTCTGTTCTGTGTATTGATCTGTTTTCGTGTTTATGGAACAAAATCCAGAATTCACCCAGTGAGTTTGAGGCTAGTTAGGGGTACATACGTGAAGCTGTCTTAAAACCCAAAACAATGAAAGCAAGCATATTGGTTGCTGGAGTAATTCACATTGGCCTCTGGCCTTCTTGCTAGCTGATGCTATTGTGTTTCAGCAGTTTGACCCCCGATTTTTCTTTATTGTATATTTCCATGTTTCTGTAATATGAGACCCTTTGTACCTTTTAAATTATTGTTACCAAAAATTAATAAACTGGAGTCTTGTGTGGCACACAAGTCTTGTTAAATGATTGAACTGAAACTTCCTGTATTATGTAAACAGTGTTCTGCCTGCGGGCCAGAAGAGGGCACCAGATCTCATTCTAAGTGGTTGTGAGCCACTGTGTGGCTGCTGATAACTAGCTGAACTCCGGACCTGGAAGAGTAGTCAGTGCTCTTAAACCCTGAGCCATCTTTCCAGCCCCCTAACTGAAACTGTTTTTAATATCAGTTCTTTGGGTAAAATTTACATTTCGATTTTAGAAAGTTTCTCATTGAAGCTAAGGGGCTTGTTTGCTTTATTTGCTCTTGGCAAGATTTTCCTCTTTTCTTATCTAGGACATGTAGAAGATAGACCCTGGGCCTCTCAGTGTGTGAGTTTATGGTACCATGTCTACAGCCCAGGCTATCTTCAGCATCTTGAATGCTGGGCTTAGGGGTGTGTGCCACTATACCTGACTTGGGACAGGAGCAGTCAAATGGCAGTAAAAAGTTCTTATTCTGCCAACCTTGGCTAGGCTGCTTTCTCATCTCAAAGCACCCAGCTACAGGGCTTCCAGGAGGGAATCTGCCTGCTGATTCCCTACAGCTAGTGTGAATCCAGGTTCAGGCTAGTCTCTGTCACAGAATCTTGTCTCCTCACATCTTTGCAGCCTCTGAACTGAGACATCCTGGGGGCCATGACGCTGTTGTGTTGTGGGTTCACTGAGCAGCTTATCTTGGACCCTTCTGGGCTGTGAGGCCATGACCCAGAAGTCCTTCCCTGGAGAACTTGCTGACAGTGAATGTGGTGTTAAGAAAGCCATACTGCAGAAGGGTAAAGAGGCCACATCTGTGGAGGTGGTGTATCTGGACTGTATGTATCTAGTGTGAGACTTTGAAGGATGAGAAAAGTGTTTTCTGAGGTCTGGCCAAGAGGATGTCAGCTGACTGGAAAAGCAGGTTGTGGGCAGACCCACTGGGAAGGACCAGGCTACCCAAGAGGCTCTGTTGTCACAGCAGCTTTGCAGTGGACAGACGTGGGTCTTTTTCTCCTACTGTCCCACAATGCCACTGCCCAGTGCTGTCATAGGACAGATCTTATGCCACAGGGGAAGGACTGAGCTTGGTTGGTTACACCTGGGGAGCCCATGACTTTCATCAGTTCACCCTGTGAGTTCTTAGGCGTTTGGATCTGGAAGAAATGGGCTCCCTGGCATAAGGTTCAGAAAAGGAGCTTCCAGTGTGAGCTGTTCTGTTTTGGTTTTGTACAAGCTCCAGACAAGCTTATATAAGGCTACGTTTTATTGCATGGGAGCAAGCAGAGGCCTTCTACCTGCTGAGAGCCTGTGAAACCTTTCTCTTCCCCTCTACCAGGCACCATCATGCCCCAGTATGCCCATTAACAGTACTTTTTGTGAAATGGAAACAAGATGATTTGCTAATACCATTTACTATCTCAGTGTTATTGGGGACCAGGGGTCCTACTGATACTTGTATGGAGTTCTTTTTTGTTTGCCCCCCCCTTTCCCCCAACAGGGTTTCTCTGTATCTTTGGAGCCTGTCCTGGAACTAGCCTTTGTAGACCAGGCTGGCCTCGAGCTCACAGAGATCCGCCTGCCTCTGCCTCCTGAGTGCTGGGATTAAAGGCGTAAGCCACCACCGCGCGGCTAGTATGGAGTCCTTGATAAATGGTTTTGTTTAGCAAGATGTTCCAGGCCTTGAATGTCAGTGGCTGCAGGGGGTTGTCTGGCCTCTCTAGACCCCCAGTACAGATACCATCTTGGTGTGTGGGCATCACAGGATGGGCTGGGTCTCCCTCTGTAGTGGGGGCAGCCCTAGATTTGCTTTGCACCTCTTAGGTTTGGTCTGTCAGTTTTCAGATGGAAGTTATGGTTGACAAAGATATTAGATCTTATTTCTACGAGATCATTTAGAATGTGAGAGACAGCCACAGATGACAGGCTGCCTGGCAGGGAGAAAGTGGATTCTATGCAATGAAGCTGTTCTCTCTCTCTGACTATTAGACCATTTTGCATTAAAAAAAAAAATTTAAACTGGCTTGTGTGTGGCATAACTTCTAAGGGGATTTTCCCACTGGATCCTAGATTCCAGTTACCCCTTGGTGGGTAGGGAAAAGGACATTACAAGAACTAGGGCTCCACACCTTTCTGTTTCCCTTGGTGATTTTGCTGGCCAGAAAAAAAAAAAAAGAGGCACAAAACTTTATTGTCCAAGGAGTTTCTGGGATGCTGACCCATTGGGGCCTCAGGAATTGATTGTCCTCCACTGGGCCTCTACCTCCATACCCTCCCCTCTCATTTTGAGACTTGTCTCTCATTGTGTAGCCCAGGCTGGCCTGGAACTCAGGTAGACCAGGCTGGCTTCTGGTTTTAATCTACCTGCCTCTGCTTCCTGAGTGCTGGGATTAAAGGTGTGTGCCACCACACCTGAATTATGGATTTCTCTTAGACCTTCGTTCTTCCAGCCCGGGTCTTCAAGCAGACCTGAGATTGCTGGGCCAGGCAATAGGGCTTGAAGCTATGTCCCAGTCTGCTGTGGCTGCTTGCAGGTGACCAGTAGGCCATCCCTGGTTCTGGGATGCTTCTGCCACCTATGGTATCCCAGCTGTCACCTCTTCGTTATCAGTATGTGGTTACCAGGAGTGTCGGGCTCGATGGCCTGCCAGGCCAGAGACTGGTGGAATCCTGATCACTGGCGAACAGCTGGCAGTGGAGCTGGGAGCAAAAGCTGAGTGGATGGCCCAGAGGGAAGCAGGCCAGGCCAGAATCACTGTCTCCAGAATTTGCTAGAATGGTCCCCATTTTTCCCACACTTTCAGAGTAGACCCAACTAAGGGTGCCCTATTTGGGTGTGATGACCCAAACTGCACCCTAATTTTACTTAGCTCTCATACCGTTTCCCAGTTCAAGGAATGGAGCCCCGCCCAGGCTAAGGAGGTAATCCAGGCCTCACTGACAGCTGCTATTTTACCTGTGGCCAGGAGAGGGAGCTCCTGCCTTCCGACGCCCCTCACCAGGCATCAGGCCGCTGTCCACATGGTACCAGCACCTCTCACCTGACTGTTCACACATGGTCAAGGCACTGGTTACTCAATTCCGTCCTCCAATATGCTGAGTCCAGGGCTTTTACCTACCCTAGCTGACGTCTCCCTGACCAGAGCTGTTTTACTCTGCCCCCTCCCGTTTCTCATCGTTCCCCTATCTGGCCCCCCATTGCTTGTAAGCTCTCAACCCTTCAGGCCCCGATTTAGGGACCACTGGGAACCTTCCCAGACCTAGGCAGTCCAAGTCAGGACCCCTTTTGTAACCTTGGAGTCTTTGATGGTGTAGACCTGAATTTATCACCCAAAAGAAGACTCTACATTGCTTTTTTGAATGGCTCAGGGAAGGGATGACTGGCCCGGGAAGGCTGCTGTGTCCTACTCCACATGAGGATCACCCTAGAGGGACCAACTGAAGTCGGCACCAGAGTGGGTGGTAGGACTCGGCATTCCCGCTTCTTCCCTGATTGTCCTCTCCCATCCTGGCTGTCCTTCCAACAGTGGGGGTCCATTGCACACCCACATTGCTACCCCTCCGTTCACAAGTCTGCTGTGGCGGTCCTTCACCTTCAGAGTGACTGGAAGCTGGAGCTGCAGGTCATGGAGCCGGAAAGCTTAAGCCAAGACCGAGGCCCTGCACACCCTGGCTTTCCCTCTCCCCATCCGTTCTGAGCCGTACTGTGTCCTCAGTTGGAGGGATTGTGGTAGTCTGCTTCCTCTGCTCTCACCGTGGGCTCTCCCAAGGGCGGAAGTGAGAACGGTCTCAGGGCTCTTGCTGG